CTCTGGGAACAGGAGTCTTTCTGAGACTGATACTCTAACTGAGGACCATGCACAGATGAGGCTAACATTTTTTTAAATGTGTATAATTAATTTTCAAATAGTTGAGTTGTCATCTCCCAAACTAGTGTTTCTAACTTTATTAGATAAGAGCCGAAAGAAGAGTCCTTTCTCTACAATTTTGTTTAAAATGTTTAAGGTCAAATAAGTTTTAATATTCCAATGACATTTAATGTTTGATTTGTTATATGAGATTTTTATGAATCTATCAGTAAAACTTTCATTGCTCTATTCAGTGTCCCAAGAGCTCTTGCTTGTTTTTCTTATTTTTGCTCACAAGTCACAGTTTTCAGGTGTTCATTTCATTACAAGCTTTGGTTATCTTAGCAAAAATAGTCCTCTAAATTACTTTGTTACTATTCTAGCTTGACTCATTTCTTTCTTCTTTCATTCACTCTTGATCCTTTCTCTTTTTTTTAATTTAAATTTATTTTTTAAATTTATTCACTTTCTTTTTTTTATTTTTATTAATTACACTTTATTGACTTTGTATCCCCCCATAAGCTCCTCCTTCCTCTCCTCCCAATCCCACCCTCCCATCCCCTTCTTCATGCATGCCTCCCCCAAGTCCACTGATACAGGAGGTCCTCCTCTCCTTCCTTCTGATCTTAGTCTATCAGATCTCATCAGGAGTGGCTGCATTGTCATCTTCTGTGGCCTGGTAAGGCTGCTCCCCCCCCAGGGGGATTAAAGTGAGCTGGAAGAAAGAATCACATTAGTGATTCCCATGAAAGCAGCTCAGTCTGCCTTTTTTTTGAAGCAGCAGCATTTAATTTCCCTTTAGTGTAGATTTTAAAACAAGGATTGAGTTCTCTTCTACCATGTATGTAGCAGGGTTGAAACCCAGGTTGTGAGCCTTGGTGTCAAGTACCCTTTATGTTCTGGAGCCATCTCATTACCCCTAGTGTACATTTTTTTTTTAATTTTTAATTACACTTTATTTACTTTGTATCCCCCTCTAGTTCCCTCTCTCCTCCCCTCCCAATCCCTTTCTTTCTCCCCCATCTCCACACATGCCCCTCCCCAAGTCCACTGATGGGGGGGGGGTTTCTTTTTCTTCCTTCTGATTCTAGTCTGTTAGGTCTCATCAGGAGTGACTGCATTGTCTTCCTCTGTGGCCTGGTAAGGCTGCTCCCCCCTCAAGGGGAGGTGATCAAAGAGCAGGTCAATCAGTTCATGTCAGAGGCAGTCCCTGTTCCTAATGTACATTTTAAACACGACTTTTAAAGCTTTCTTCCTGATCTTTTCCAATACACAGGAGAGTGAGCAAAGCACTTGTACAAGCCTGAAAAACCTGAGTTCAGACCCCTAATACTCACTTAATAAACCGAGCCTAACTGTAACCCCAGCACTGGGGAGCAGAGCCATGGACAAGCAGGTTCCAGTGGCTTCCTGAAGGATCAGCCTAGCTGAAAGAGAAAGCTCTAGCTTCCAGGAGAGGAGCTGACTCTGAAGAGAGTGGCAGAGAAGACATTCAAACTCAGTCTCTGGCTTGTACATGCACACACTTGTGAACATACTTGTTTACACATGTACTCACACACACACCACAAACAAATCCCACTCTACTTAGCAAGATTGAATTTGAAAGAAAATTCATTATAATAATGATAAAATTAGTAATATCAGCTATAGTCATGATCAACCAAAAATTACACACTTTTTGGAAATTTAAAAAATACACCTTTGAAACTGAGTCTTTCTCTCTGTGTGTTAGAAATGATAATGTTAAGATCCAACATTGCTTTTCAATAATCCTACACTTTTCATATCAACTAGGCAGGAAATCTTGTTGGCTCCAAGTTCTCCTGCAAGGTCACTGTAATTGGAGTAACAGGAAGATGTGCTAGATTCAGAGACAGCTTATATTTAATCCAACATAAAATGCTTAAACTCATGACAACAAAGTATGACAACCACATTAACTAATCCACAATGAAGAATATGTCATTTTAATAGTAATGGAACAAGCCATCCAATTAATTAGCAACAAATTGGACAGATTGCTTTGGAAGTTTTCCAGGAGGGAAGGTCCTCTGGGATTTTGCTTCCAAAGCAAGAAACTGATATCCATTATCACCTCGGGTACAGTTTTTTTTTTAATTTTTTTAAACTTTCTTCTTTTATTTTTGAGATTTTAATATAATTACATCATTCTCCTTCCTTTGTCTGCCTCCAAACCCTTCCATATACCTTTCTTTGTTTTTTTTTCAAAGTCATGCCCTCTTTTTACACTAATTATTGTTACATGCATCAGTATGTAGCATATGAAACCATTGTTACATAACAATTAATTATTGTTACAATTCGTTGTTACATATTTCACACGTGTATATACACATACATTCTTAAATACAACTCATCAATCTCTATAATGTTTCTATGTACAATTTAGGGATGCCCATTTGGTATGGGAACATTTCAGAAGAGTGGGTGGAAAGAATGTAAAGAGCCAGAAGACTAGAAAGTTTTTTGTGAGATTGTGTATCCTAGCAATGTCAAAAGCTACACCCATAAAGTCTCACCCACATGACCACATAAACATGAGCAGAATTAGGACAGCAACAATAGACATGATAAAGTGGATGGGGAAAGCCCACGAGGCTTAAATTCTATCAAAGAATTGCAAACAACTAAAAAAAGCTGAGACTGGGAGAACCAGTCTTTCCCAGGAAAGAACTCACCAATTAGATATCTAATTGTTTTTAATTCTTAAATTTTACATTACATAATGTAATCGATCATAGAATTGTAAGACAGAGGACCCAAGATGTTGGTGGGGAAAATCGCGACTCACAATCTGCATGGCCACCATAAACTGATGAAAGGATTTCTGGGTATTTCCTCTGCCTATAAACAACAGAAATGTCATAACCTTGTAATATAAAAAATGTTTTATAACTCATTCAATTCTTGCAACAATCCTGAAGATATCATCTTCCCTGTTTTATAACAATGTTCCCCAGTGTCAGATATCTACTCATACTAATGCCAGTAATGCACCATACATCTGGTGGCAAGGTGTTCTCACACTTTAGATAACTACCAAAACAAGGACAATATAGTCCTGGCCATTAACATCACTGATGAGCTTGCCTTTTCTATAAACCAGCCTCGAACACTAGAGAACTTGGTCATGAAGAATGCTAGCCTTTCCCTAAGCCTGTTTCCATCTTTCAGTGCCCAACCTTGTATTCAGAGAAAATAGGAACAATGGGTTCTATATAAAACAGCTCTGAGGTACCAAACCATCCATGGATGCTTCATTTGACTGGAGGCTTTTGGCACAGAGACTGTACATATCCTTGGGGTGGTGTTCTCCATTGGAGAGTGAATTGACCTTCTCTGTTTTACTTCAAGCTGGTACCACGTCCTGTTTGGTTTGAAAAGTTAAGGACGCTTATGTTCCATTAAATGTTCTATTCTTATACTTGGCTCTTGGTATAGCAGTGTCACTTGCCACTCCTTAACCATGTTCTCAAATGCCATATGAATTAAAAATGTGCAAACAAAATAACTGCTATCACTCCTACATTCCTCTCCACAACATACCAAAAGTCTCTTGTTTCGTGTGGGTCATTTACCTCTGTTGCACAGGATGATGTGTCAAAATTCTGAATTTCACTAAGAGAAAGATGGATTGGTTTTGTTAACTAGTGTCTGGAAAGAGCTGAGCTGTCAGGAGCAAAGTGCCATTCTCCATCACCAAAAGAAAGTAATCAGGGAATCATGTCTGTGGCAGCATGCACATCCATCCAGGCTGGATCCCAGGCTGTTGTGAGGTGTGATTCATCTCAGTCTGTAATAACACGTTCCTCGGTGACATCAGTTGTCACAGGAGAGGGATGTCATCTCTTCAGCTGGAATGTCTGTGTATAACACAGCAACACTTTGCAATGACTGTAGCCTGTTTCTCCATGATAGCACATCTGCTACCATGAGTGTTCAACATAGGAAATTTCAGGCATACTGCATGGGTCTATAGCCAGCCGCAGGAGTACGGAAAGCCCACCAGTAGCCACATCCTCAAAAGAGAACAATTCTCCCTCCTCCCAGCAGCTAGCAACTGCCAACAGAGTAAGTGTGGGGCCTAGAAAGCACCACCCCCATCTATGCAGGAATGTTGGTTGGCTTGTTCTTGTGTAGGCACCACACCTGTTGTGAGTTCCTGTCAAGAATACAGCATTAAGTTGAATAAAGAGCAAACAGGTGGCAGCAGTCAGAGGTTGTTAAACCGTAAGTCTGTAGCTTTCTGGAAAATAATTCCTTACCTTCAAACTAGGAGGCCTGACACCTCCAGGTCCCTTTTTACATTAAAATTTCACAGCATAAAAATGCCGTTCAAAAACAATTTTCATGGCCTTTTTTTTTCTAAAATAATATGCTTAAGAAGCAAGAACAGGATATACATCTTAAAAACATTTTTTTTTAAGTTTTAAATCATAAGACGTAACAGAGAGCATTTTAACTTCTAAGTATCAAATGTTTACAATCATGTGAAATTACAGAAAGGACCATTCAAATAATGTTTCCTGACAACATGAGTTGAAGGTGTCTACCAAACATCTAGCACACAGTATTTATTTGTACGGGAAACTCAAATGTAATCAGAATTTTCTGGGTGCAAAAACAAAAGGAAAAACTATGGGCTACACTTCCATTCTCTAATTTGCAGAAAGACTGAATAGTTTTAGGGGACTTTTTGTAGAAAGAATCATTTCGTATAAGTCAGTATTGCTATCTTAAGTGCTACTTTGGGGTTTGTTGGAATATACTAACACTATACCGCTATATATTAAAGGCAATCTGCTGAAAGTCATTTGCATAAGCTATTTGTGTGTGTGTACCAGCCAGAACAATATTGAGAGTATTCATAAACCTGCATGATACTGCACTGTTTCCTCTTGTTTCCTTTAATCAGTGTTTCTAAATTTATTTTTCAGAATGAAAAGTCTCCAGGGCGATCTGCAAGTCGATCAAGTAACATATCAAAAGTAGGTGAAATCTCTCTGTGTCCCTGTTTATTGATTTCTACATTTTATGAGTTCAATGACTATTGATAACATTTAACCTATAATTATTATGTATGAGAATTACTCAGATTTGTTAATGGTTTGAACTGTTTCACACCTTTATTGGGGAAATGCTTTCATGCAAATGCATATGTTGTCTTTCCACTTCTCAATACAGAAGGAATTTGCTACTTTCAGAGTTGTCCTGGGAACTAGGCCTCCTTTTTCCTCCACTTCAAACACTATAGGGAAAACACACCCTCAGATCAAAACTATCAGCAGTTGTCGCAGTTCCCATGGAATAAAATGTCAGGATTCAGTTTCAACCTCACTGACACTGGATAACTTTTAGAAATCAATTTCATGAAATCTTCAGTTTGGCCATATTTAAGTTACAGAATCAATGGACAGAAATAAAATATATTCCCTAGATTAACTTTAAATCCAAACCAGGAAGCAGAGTCATTAAGTTATTGTGAATCTAGACAAATATTCTAGACTTTTTACTAGTATAAAAAACAAAATTCACGAACCGTTGTTTGAAATGGGGTGCCATGTGGTGGGCAGATATGGGGTAGCATGGGATGGGCAGATATGGCACTTGGGAAGTAAAATATAATGTATGGTCATTTTTCTTTTTTTTTTATCAGTTACATTTTATTAACTCTGTATCCCAGCCATATCCCGCTCCCTCAATCCCTCCTAATCCCACCCTCCCTCCCTCATCTCCACCGTGCCCCTTTCCAAGTCCACTGATGGGGGGACCTCCTCCCCATCATTTTTCAAAGTGGGCACTCTGATTTTCTAAGGCATTGTCAGAACAAAGATTATATATAAAATTCACTTTATATCCCAATTCTAGCCTCCTCTCTTGTTTCCCCTGGGTTGATCCCACACTCCCTCCCTCTTATTTCCTATCCCTCTCCCCTAGTCCACAGAAAGGGAGAGTCCTCTTCCCCTACATCTGAGCCTACCCTATCAAGTCTCATCAGGACTGCCTAGATATCTTTTATGCCCTGGCAAGGCCGCCGCCAAGGAGAAGTGATCAAAAACAGGCAACAGAGTTCATGTCTGAGATAACCCCTGCTACTACTAGGAAACCCACCTGGAGACTGAGCTGTCTATGGGCTACATCTTAGCAGGAGTCTAAGTCCTCTCTATGCATGGTCTTTAGTTGATTCATTAGTTTCCCCAGTCCCCCTGGGCCCAGCATTTGGGGCTTTGTTGGTCTCCTTGTGGAGCTCCTGTCTCCCTCTTCTCCAGTAATACTCCTTGGGCTCTTCCCAAAGTTTGACTGTGAGTCTTTGCATCTGCTTCAATCCCCTTCTGGGTAGAGTCTTTAAGAAGCCATCTATGGTAGGCTACAGTCCTGTTCCCTCTCTTCAACTGTTTCTGGTGTCTTTTCCATTTGCTCTTCTAAACAAGAATTAAACATCCTCCCTAAGGTCCTCCTTGTTATTTAGCTTCTTTAAGTCTGTGGATTGTCATCTTGTATTATATGGCTAATACCTGCTTAGGAGTGAGTATATACTATGTGTGTCTTTCTGCTTCTAGGATACCTCACTCAGGATGATCTTTTCTAGTTCCATTCATTTGCCTACAAATTTCATGATTCCCTTGTGTTTAATAGCTGAATAGTATTTCATTGTATAAATACACAACAATTTCTTTATCCATTCTGTGACTGAGGGACATCTAAATTTTTTTTCCAGATTCTGGTTATTACAAATAAAGCTTTTATGAGCATAGCTGAGCAAAGGTCCTTAAGGACTTTTGTATGGTGAAGCATCTTTTGGGTATATGCCCACGAGTGGTATAGCTGGGTCTTGAAGTAGAGCTATTCCCAATGTTCTGAGAAAGCACAAGATTGATTTCCAAAGTGGTTTATGAGTTTGCATTAGCAATGGAATAGTCTTCCCATTTCTCCACAGCCTCATCAGCATATGCTGTCACTTGAGTTTTTGATCTTAAACATTTTGATGGGTGTAAGACGGAATTTCACAGTCCATTTGATTTGTATTTCTCTGATGAGTAAGGACATTGAACTTTGCTTTAAGTTCTTTTCCACTGTTTGATGTTCCTCTGTTGAGAATTCTCTGTTTAGCTCTGTACCCCAATTTTAATTGAGTTATTTGGTTTGCTAGTGTTTAATTTCTTGAGTTCTTTACATTTTTTGGATATTAGCCCTCTGTCGGATGTAGAGTTGGAGATTCTTTTTCTCAGTCTGTAGTCTGTCGTTTTGTTTTGTTGACAGTGTCCTTTGTTAAGAAGTTATTACAAGAAGGCAAATTCCATCTCAGGGCCTTTCACTGGCCAGGACCTTTTCACATTCCCAGCCTCACTTCCATATTAGCAATTTTATACTGCTTTTTCATGGTGAATCTAGAAATAAATAACAACATTAGACTTCATGCCAATTCAAGCAGCCCATTAGACAAGCTCTACTTTCTGTTTAGTTTCCAGAAGTGAATGACTTTGTTTTTATCTGAGAAGTAGGAGTTACAGAATGTCATCATTCTCTTCAGCTGGATTCTTGAAAACAAATTTTATAGATATATGACTTGTGCACATGTACTGGATGCTTCCAGGAGTGTATCTCCAACCTTGGATATAGGCATTTTTGTTTGTTTCTATATATGGAGGACCACACTGTTGCTATGCTACCATCTATGCAGGTTGCCTAGATAGCATCCTTTGAAAGATGATCCAGAACACATTCACATGCTTGCTTGTAAAACATGCAGCATTCAAAACTAGTGTAGATGGAGAGTAAATGCTACTCAAAGGCCTAAGTGTTACTGGCTTGATACTCTGAGAAGCAGTATAACCTTTAAATGGTGCAATTGGGTCATAGGTTGGTATACCAGTTGGAGGAAAGCCCTTGATGGGCATTGTTGGAGCAGGCCCCACTCCTTGCTCTCTTTTGCTACAGGACTCCCACAACTCTCACTAAGATGTGTTCTCCCTCTCCCTGCCATATCAGAAGTCTGAAAGCAATAGACGTTTCTAGACTTCAGACTCCAAAATTGTGATTCAAAATAATCTTTTCTCTTGATAACATTATTGTATCTGGTATTTGTTATAGTAATGAAAATATGATGGTAAATTACTGAATGTTTTGAATTACATTCAAATCATAGTAACTCCATAGATATTTGAGAAGGAATATGCCTTCTGATTTAAAATTCAAGTTTCTGCTCGGTTGTTTTCTACTCATGTGATCCTGAGATAATCAACTAAACTCCCTAAGATGGACTTATCCCTTCTACAACAAGGCTAGTCACCTGAAAGATTTCTTCATTTAGCTTATATTAGAAAACCAACTTCTAAATGCCTGTCATCCAAGTCTCATATGAAAGATCCTACCCTCAGGAATAAAACAGTATCATCTTTCTGAGCAGATTAATGTTGAACAAGGAACAACTTAGGAGCTTGTCAAAGAACTGACAGTTCTGTTATCACACCAAATATTCATGATCTAGGAGGGAAAGCATATCTTCCTTTCAAACTGCTGTTTGGAAAAATACATTGTGTTCACAAATTTCAGCCTTTCATGTTATCCTTTTAGAAAGTACATAAAAACAAAAGTTTTACTTCCCATCTCTGACTTATTCTCAAAGATTCTCTGGCATTCTGTTTGGAGATTAATGAAAATCTTTTCTCGGTTACCTTAATTGTATTAGAGAAAAGTCTCAACTATCAAACCCTTGTAGATTCCTGTGAATCTAAATCTCTTAACTCAATACAACTCTCTTTGTATTTGTGTCAGAATGATAGTAAAAAATGACAAATACATTGCTGGGTCCTCACTACTTTCATGAGTTACTAAATGATAAACTCTTCAATGATCCTGTGAAATACTGAGTATAAAATGAAAAACACTACAAATATCTGAATTCTTTTATTTTAAAGTGTTAAAAAATATTAAAGATTTTCAAAATAACTTCATGTAAAAATATTGTAATTTTCAAGGCTATAAAAATAAGTTTAATGGAGTTATAAAGACTCTGAATAGCAGAGCATCTACTTACAGGGGTTGTAGAATTTTCTATATAGCTTTATCTATAAAAGGAGAAAGAACAGCAACATGTATATCTTGGTGAGGTTCTTGGAAATTGGCAAAGCAATGCGTAATATCAGCTACTCCAATTGTGAAGCTCCAAATACTTATACTTCGATGACAGCATTAACTTTTCACCAAAATATTTCCTCGAACAAATGAATTTGAGACTCTAATGTATGTACTGTTCATTTTTTTTCTAAGTGAACCAGAATAAATTTGACAGTGATAAAATTAAGATAAGGAAGACATTAAAAATTCTGTTTACAGGAGAGCTGTCTCCAGGGTCATAAGAGCAGTAGAGGTGTTCCAGCTGCAGCACTTGGGAGACTGGTCCCACACCTCACCTTGGCAGCACAGTAGAACTGACCCTGATAGCATGGATGTGGGTGAACCAGCCTTGAGGGTATGAGAGCTGGAGAGCTAGTCCTGACCATTGCTGGCTGGGGCGTTGGGTGAGCTGTCTGGGGCAGTGTTGTAGAGTGTGTCCTGGTGGTGTAAATGCAGGAAAGCTTTCAGGCTGACCAACTCAACTACCACCCAGACCCAGGCCCAGGGGTGGCCTGCTCTATCATCTACTCCATCTATAAACTGTTAGAGCACATGAAGGGACTGATCCTGCAGATCCAAAACTTCAGCATCTCTGTGACACAGGGCCACAACAGGATATCCAAGAGGAGTCCTGGTAAAAATCTAGTACTGATAGTGCAGCAGAAGCCAGCAACCTCAAACGAGACCAATGACTCATTGCAATGAGCATTCGCAGCTAAAGATGTATGGACAAACGGGCACACTGAATGTCACACTGTGATACACTACAGTTTCCAATATGAAATGTTTCTTTTTTGTTTTTGTCTTTGTTTTTGTTTCTTTTGATGGGGCAGTTCCAAAAGCAGAGGGCAGATGCAAAGAGACAGGGAGA